ACCATAAGTCAGAAATGACTTGAAGGTGCACAACAACAACAACAACAAAAAGCCTAAGGCAAGTGGCCATCAGGAATAAGTTTGTACTAGCCTGGCAGCAATCAGGCCTGTTTTGTTCTGTTTTACTGGACTCCTGGCCATTGATCATCATGGGTGGAAAAGGGAGGTGAGAGACCCAAACACGGGGTGACCTGACGTCCTCTTTTCCCAGGACATGTCCTACATTTCAGCCTTCTCTCTAGAAAGAATTCTGAAATGTCTTCTATTCTGAGCATGACTAAGAAGCATGAATTTATATTTAAATGAGTGTTTTGAGCTTTTATTTGGTAATGCCCTACATTGCTCTTGGATGTACGACATGTGCCTTGTCCTCCTTTGCAGTGCAGTCACTCTGCCCAAACAGTGGCTGTGCAATCAATGGGAAGAGCAATGGAGGAGAAGGGCATGAGGATTAAGGGGACTGGATTAATCCAGTCACTTGGGAAGGCATTGCAAATGGGGCTTTCCAGGGAAGCTTCGTGTACAGAAAGCTTGCCACAATCTGGAACAAAGTTTCCATTAAGGAATTAGCTTCGCTTTTGGATTTGTTCCCCCCCCCCCCCGGCCTGGTCAAAGGGTGGGGGCAGAGGAAGAGAGAGAGAGGTGGGCATCTTGCCAAACAGCTGCCAGTGGTTTTCTTCAGCCCACCTTAAAGTGGCAGAGTTTCATTGCTGAATATTTAATATCTGAACCCGGTTGAAATATTTGAGGGGATACCATACTGAAGATGGAGCCAGATTGTTTAATGCTACTCCAGAAATTAGGCCATGGAACAATAGATGCAAACCTCAGGAAAAAGAGATTCCACCTCAACTTGTTCTTCTCAACTTAAGTGGAAGCCCTCTCTGTAGTCAAACTGTTTCCAATAAAGAATACGCCAATTGTTTCCTCATGAAACTTCTCTCCATCGTTATACTAAACAATTTGCAAGCTGATAAATCCCATTGATTTTAAAGGGAGCACTGTCTTATTCTTATATTATTTTAGTGAAAAAATGGTAAAGTCCAAAATAATTTATTTATTCCTTTATTGCTACTGGCATCCTGTTAGAAAGTTACAGTGGTATAAGTCAGATCTTCGCAGTTCACTTTTTTGGTTATTGTGGAGGTTGGATTTCTGTTCTGAACATGCAACAACTGAAAGCTCAC